ACCGTGTGTATTTTCCTACATATATATTTAAATCTATGAGGTAAAAAGAACTCACTGATTTATTTGAACATAGCTTTCTCAGGGCAGTAATCAACCTCCTTAACATAAGGAAATATCACAGACATTTTGAAACCATTCCAATAAATATTGAGACATCCCTTCAAGTAGCTTGGATGAAAATTCTGTTGAGATTTTGATCAGGTGTCACAACAGTTTACATCAGGCTGCACTCACACTTCCCTCCCAAAATAAATACTCATCTCCCGAAGATCCCACATCTTTCCATGTTGAAACATTTCAGCATTGATCAAGTCATCAAATACAGATACTTTTGTTCCTGAATGCAATCTTGCTAAATAATGCAGTACTGCATATAGAAAATGTTGCAAAATAAGAAAACTTTATTTAAAAAAAAGGTGTTCTAAATATCAAGTTGTATAAATAATTGAAGCTACAGATAGAATCAGAAAACTTGATTGAGCACCAAAATATTGACCTTTCTTTTCCTTTTTTTCCCTTTCACTTTTTCAAAAATACACTTAAGAGATTTTAAGTGTTTATACTACTTACAGTTGTAACCCTTCGATATATCTGAGCTGCATTTGTACATTCCGAGTACGGATACTCTGACGTTGCCATCTCAAGCATACACATGCCAACTGCGTAGACGTCCACTAACTCGTCATAGTGCTCCTCATACATTTCTGGCGCCATAAACTCTGGCGTACCTTAAATTAAAAGATGGATGGTGTGTCAGCCCTGGCGACGTGCGCGCTGTTTGGAAAAAAAGAAGGAGAGTAGGGAAAAACAGAATTAGTAAAATCATGGGTACGCTTCTATACCTGAAATGCAAAAAAGTTGGTCACTGTTTAAAGCAAGCACAAGACCGTGGCTCAACCTGTGAGTTACCTGGATACCATACCATTACCTGGCTGGGGTCCGCCTACAGCATACTAGGACACTGGGGGCACAGCAATGTTCACTGTGGTAGAGAGAGAAATTATACATGTATGTTAACAGATGTACAGATCAAATCTGGGCAAAACTTGCTACATGTCACCCTAACTCACCATCCACCAAAACTCTCCATCCCACCCAATACTTCCCTCCCTGCCAACCCAAGGCATTACAGTAATAAATAACTTGATAGTAAATTAATTTGATACCATGGTTTTTCACATTATTTTCACAGTGATGGTCTTTCTTTTGTCTGAATTTGTTCAGCAGCAGACAGTATTTATGTAGTAACAGAGAATCATTTGGAGATTTATTTTTTCTGACAGATACAATTAATACTGGGAAATGAGAAAGCGGTGTATTTCCTACAATTTCATCTATTTTAAGCTCGGGAGGCCTTGGCTATGATTGGAACACGGAGTGCACCTAGGTAATTTCTTCCTTAAAATGAGAACTTCCAATTCTACCCTGATATTAGAAGATAAGACCAAATAGAGGTGCCAACTCTATTACTGACAGTGACAATAATCCAAACTCATCATTAAACTTAATCATTTTTTTTTTAGAAACTGCTTTTTTCTTCAAGTTAACACAAGCTTTCCCTTGCAGAAGTCTGAATCAAACAAAGTTTACTTTTCCTCTTTCTTTTTATTATTATTAATAACAGATCATTCAAAATAATCAGTTATCTAGTTTTAAACTATATTAAAAGGTGCAGGCTCAGCAGTGGCCTTCAACAATCATCTGTCATAATTAGGTCTGGAAAATCAGAGGAAATAAGAATAAAATAGCACACAAATCTACAGAAAGTTCAGTTTTTTCCCCAGACTTAGGCGTGAAATCAGCTTTTGTAAAATCCCAGTAGGATAATCCCATTTGAGCAGGAATCAGTTCAGCTTTGGTGTCGATGACGCACTTGCTCTCTGAATATTGAGTTCAATACCTTCTCTACTGCATTGACACATGAAATGACGTCTATCCAAGCATATCCAACAAGTTTCAAACTGAAATAAACATGTCAATGGCAATTCAATGACTACCTACCTGCTCGACCTACTTTTTCCAATAAAAAATCTTCTTCTCAATAATAAAAACAATGTCCTCAATACATCAACCATTCATTACATATAAAACATGATAAACAATAAAAACAATTTAAAACTTGCCAAAACAGCTTGAACATTCCTCTGCAATGAGCCCACCATTAGGATTCTTACCTATCACACTTTTAGCAAAAGACTTGTTCTTCAGGGTTGCCAGACCCAGATCGCCGATCTTCACGCTGCCGGTGGTACCGGTGATGAAGATGTTATCACATTTCAAGTCTCGGTGGATCACAGGAGGATTGCGACTGTGCAGGAAGTAGAGTCCCTTCAGGATCTGCCGACACCAGTTCTTGAGGACCTTGATGTTGACCTTCTTGAATCTCTTCAGATACCTAGAAACAATTTATTTTTGAAAGCCTCACAATAAAATGGGTTACAAAGAACATTGATATACACAATTAACATTAATATACCATCTTTTAAATCGCACTCAAATATGGTACCAATCAGAGACTGAAACAATAAATCACCTTGGTTACATCACATCAGTAATATCCTAACCTATGAAAACATCAACAGATTAGTCTCACACGACACATCGTCTGTCACTTACGTCTTCAATGTTCCTGATGTCATCAGCTCTGTTACCATGACAATGACCTTTTGACCTCTTGGTGACACCAACTCCCAGGAGTCGTAGAACCGCACAATGTTCGGATGCTGTAGCCCCTTCAACATCTCGGCTTCTTCTTTGAACCGCTGACGTTCTGTTTTGCTCCATTTTTTGTCCTACGAAGATAATTTCGGTTTGTTAATTAATACCGTAATGAATAAATAAAATAAATTTCAACATCAAGTATCTTTAACCATCAATCAAGTTTCACTTGAGGTTTATTTCAACAACCACATGTTTTTTATGTACAGATACAAAATCTACATCACATGTGAATTGCTAGACAAAAGGATTAAAAGGCACCTGAATAAGATGCTTTTCACAAACTTGCAAACCTAATCTCTTGTGAAATATTTAAGCTCATGTCCATGTTGCTTTTCTTTTGAGATTTCACAAATATAATTATTGGTCTGACACAATCAATCTACATATCTACAATAGACAGAGCATTTGATATCACCAAATTCTAATCAGGCAACCCAGACACGCAAATGTTTCAAATCATCACTATACACAATTCAAGTAAGCCACTTCTCCAGTTTTCTCCCTGAAGACTCAGTCAGTACCTTTACCAGGACTAATGAAGTCCAGACATCAAGAACAGGCTGTATGATCAATCCAGCATGTAAGTACATTAATGCGCGGGTGAAATGCAGTGCACGGCCCAGATTCATTGAGACAGAGGATTGGGGAGTCGAGGGTTCAGGGCAACTGGCAAATCTTCCATTATGATTATTATAACAGGTCTTTATTACATCAGTAGATGCACTGGGTGCAAACTGTGCTGAGACATTTCAGGCAGTTGGGAAATCACTCCCAAATGTGGAGTCAAGTGATGGTAATTATGACTTCATACTATATGGCAAGACCAGAATTCACAGACCATGTTTTTACTATGAAATGAAATCATAACTGCGGCTTCACTCACTCACACATTCACACCCCTAATATATAATTGATGGTATTGCGTACACTTTTAAAAGATATGGAAATGGCTTTTTCACGGTGATTTATGTCCTGTCATTAGCAAGGGAAATACCGGAGCAGGAGGAATTCAAGTGATAAGTAATGAAGGGCACATGCAATAGTCCAATTAGTCCTCCATTTGCATACACCCAGCTCACTAAACCTTACATAGTGTGACTGACTCTAGACAAGGTGATGGTGCTTTACTCATTTAACAACAATACCTTCCATATACTAGTACCAGTGCTACTCTAAAATATCCACATGTCCAATCATGGAAGATAACACTGGAGAACTTGAAATACCTACTAACTCACTATGTATCTTGACTAGACATTCAGCATCTTGGCAGGTTTGTTTTTAACACAGCATTGCTTTTAAAAGAGGAATTTACCTAAATGATTGTCAAAGGCAATATAAAAGAGAAAACATGGAAGTTACCTTAATTATTAAATATTTTCCCTACAGCTTGGAGGAGATGACACTCACAAGTGGCAAAAGGCCAGCATACCCAGATAAACAATACTTCAAAAGCACACACACACACAATTTCAGTGATGAGAACTTTATACATGAACATCTATATATTCAGCAAATACACTGTAACTTGTAAGGGATAATCCCCATATAGAAGTCCAATATAGCAATTAATTAACACACTTGTCCATGCATAGCTGATTGTGATCAACTTCAGCTGATCTACAACTTAAAGGCCATCAGAAGAAACCATGTGGGCCCATGCATTCAAAATTCTTAAAAATATCTAAACCTTTATGAAAAATGTCACATGCTTGTATGCTTCCAGACAAGCATTTAATTACTCTGAGTGAAAACTCACCAATTCCTATTTTCCTCAACTAATCAGTTCAACACAAAACAAGTTTCAATCAGTTGCCTCTGAGATATCATTAAATAGCCAAGAAAACACTAATTTGCTGGAATTTGTGTTCCATTTGCAGACTGACGTCAGCGGCTGAGACAGTGGTTATATGTTTACATTCATCATTCTCACCTATTTGCTATGGCAGAGGAGGATATATATTGATGCAGCAGATCAGAATAGAGAACACCTTGCTTCAGTGGATAGCAGAAATACCAACTATATCCTGAATATACCCAGTCTCCACTTCAACATCCATACATTTAACCTTCTTAGTTTACCTACCATCCATGAATAAACTTATCCTCACATTTGTTTAGTTTATTGCTATCTATTATGTATGAAGCGAGGGTAATTATCAATACCATTTTTCATTGACTTCATCAACCCAAGCGGTGTCACATAAACATTACACCTGGGGGTGTGTACTGGGCAGGTTAGGTAACACAGTCCATAATTTCCAATTAATTGCCCCCATCTATTATTTTGAAATTTATGAGGGATGCTGCACAGCAACAAACCTGGAGCCTGGTCCCACAGCAGTGCTACAGGGTGAAAGTTGGTCCTAACTTATGGAACTCGGTCTAAAATAAGCCCAGTAGGCCAAAAAGATGGAAGATTACACCCATATTATATAACAGGAAAGACATGGCTATCATTTCCGACCCATACTTTAATTCTAGTTAACTATTATGGCTCTATCTCGAACTACACTGAACCACATTTTGAGTCTAAAAGTTATGACCATATTTTCGGGCTCCATCTCGGTTCAGGTGAAGCCATGCTCTGACCTTCTCCTTGTCTTTACTGCCATGTACATCAGTGAGAAACAACGACCTCCCAGCATGATAGAGGAAGGAGAAGACCACCTGGTTGTGTCTGCTTGAACCAACCACAACACAGAATTCCAAGGCTGGGGCAGCGCTAGCATTATTGCTGTATATAAACTGAAGTTTGCAACCAAATTAGGTTTCATTCAAAGCTTTATAAAAAGCTGTTTGAAATTCAAAATGTAATAATCATCCTTTTGGAAGACATGCTTTAAATGAGAATATATATATATATATATATATATATATATATATATATATATATATATATATATATATATATATATATATATATATATACACACACAAGTATTGATAATTTCATAAATACACATACAGTACATTCTTTTATTTTACATAAAAATTGTTTATTCCACACTCAAAAAGTATGAGACAGAGAGAAAAAAAGAGAGCTAAAAAAAAAGTAGACAAATACCACTTTTCTGACTGGTTTCAGAAAATTATTCCTCTTTACATCAACAGTTATATACATTAAGATAATTATGGCCAGGTGGGATGAAAAAAATCATGTTGCTTTCCAGTTTATGGTGATCATCTTAATGTGATCTGTGTTCAGTTTATCTTCCTTTAAACATTCGACATTTGTCTATTTTTATTTCTGCAATCCCCAAAAACCTCAAGTTGATGTGTGAATTTTACATCAAACTACTGCTAGGCAGACTAAGGTTCTCCCAAAGTGACAGTTGCATCACAAAACTAATGAAAATTGTATATTCTGTTATGTAATTGTGAGCTGAAAATCGACTAAAAGTTTTCATTTCAAGGAAAATGCAGACTAAATGCTACTTCAGTTTATTGGATAAGTCACCACAAGACCTATCCTTTATCTAGAACCAATATGAAAAAAAAAGACCTTGAAGGCGTCTAGCAATCAGCAAGTCTAGTGAAAACAAGTGAATCTGTGAAAAGCTCTGTCTATTCCTATAGTAATATCGACATTATTTATCAAGAAGCTGTAGGCACATATGCTGGCAGCAGAAGGAGTGGACTTGTGCTATTGATTTCTACAGCTTGGCGGGTAATTGGCTCAAGATGCACAGAGGTGCACAGAGAGTCAAACTGTGTCTGGAACCATGAGTTCTACAAACTATATATCCTATATCCTGTCCACGAGGGTCTTAAGAGAGTTTCCGGTGCAGTTGGGATACGACGGCTAGATTGTTACGTATGTGCAAATGTATCTAGTAACGCGCTACTCTTTTTCTCGTTCCGGTAAAGTCCCGGAATGCTGGCGCTTCCCGCCCCGCTGATTCCAATATAATTAACAATATACGGCCCCTTAGCCATCTATTTCCAAGGTGGAGATTCTTTTTTATGAAAAAGGAGACATATATTACCCAAAAGTGCAATTTTCCCGACAAATATGGCGGTTAGTAAGATCAACCCCCCGCCTACGTGCCTGATAAACCAAAACTAGCAACTCCTCTCTCTTAAAAAGTCGAAATTTGCATGAACGTACACTTGATCTATTGTAAAAAAGTATATAAGGCATATAAATGAGCAAACATAACCTTTAATAACTATTTTCAATAATCTTCCACACTGGCTAGATAGGAGCGCTTGTATTCTGCAGACTAGATTGGATGACGGTATATGAATGCGGTGAACGTCACAAGTGCGCACAAACCGATGACGTATTAATCTAGCCGGCGTATCTCACCGGCAACAGAAACTCTCTACTATCATGGGATGGACAGATAGGAAAAACGACAGATGGAGAGAGAGAGAGAGAGAGAGAGAATAAACCTATAAGCTGAAGTGGATTTTTTATTATTTACTTACTTGTATTTTTTTAGCCTGGCTATGACACCCTACCTTTTATTTATACCCATGGGTTTTCATTTATTCTCAATGCAATATCAGACATCAAGTTACGTCACAAGCCAAATATGAGTCAATATAGCAAAAAGAAAATATTCAGAATTTCAACAACTGACCAGAAAAGTAAACATAACAAGCTAAGGCCATACAAGCACAAACTGGGAAAGCAAAGACACCAGAATATCTAGAGCTCGTACACAAATAATATTATATGGTGTTTATCAAAATCCTCAACTGTATAAACACGCCTATATATCAACACCTATCTCAAAATGTAACAGCTTGAAATTAGGTGAGACTCTTACCAAAAAAATTCAGATGTACCATAAAATAATTAGCTAACACTAGCCACAAGCCCATGCTTATGTAAGGAGGCAGCTTTGCAGCTACTGCATTGCTATGTACCCCTATCAGCTAGTTAGAAAGCTGTAAATCAGGAGCACCTGTTAGAAACAGAACACTGCAACATTCACTGCAAAAGACCTTCATCTGCATATAAATTCAGACCAGCAAAATGAATCATCCAGATCAATTGAAAAGTTATTTCAGTTCCCAATTATGACTCATTCAGACAAAACATTGTGTGTACGGAGTTGAATAATATCAATCTATCACAGGAGAGAGGCGATTAGGTGTGACAGTAAAAACATGATTATAGATATTAGTTATATTATAATAGTAAGATGATGGGAAGGAAGGGTGGGGGGGGTAAAATTGACAATCACTAAACGAAATTGTTCACTCTTAACATTAATATCACATTGTCGCAAATTAATGTATAATTTGTTTAACAAGATGCTACAGAGAGAGGACAAATCTTTTGATTTTCATCTTCACCATTTTGTTACCCCGATTTTCACCTGGTAACTCACACTGATAACCCCCTTCACTCACAGGTTACTAGTACAAAGCAGGGGAAGGCACAAAAAACATTGTCTTCCTGAAAGCAGGCAAATAATATTTAAGTTAAACAGTGCTGAACGCAGCCCAGAGTAGCCCAACGGGGCATCAACCAGCCAGATGAATGAGCTGCCACAGAAATGACGTAACAGGTTCTGCACAGGAAGTGAAAGCCCATCTTTCAGGTTAGGCTGCTTCTATACTAAATCTATGTCTGCTAATAAATCAGCATGGGTACAAAGACGCCATTGTGTTTGCATTACCAAGCACAATATCCAAGGATTCCTTTTATCATAATTACTGACTTTTTGTATCAGCTGATTATTGAGAGAAAAAAAACTCTTGGCAAAATCATGCATAATATTTCTGAGTTTTTTCTTTATTCATTTTGAATTAGATTACTCTCCATTTGCCTATTTGTGAAAAAGTTCACATGCATCATGGTTTAAACCTTAGTGCTCTTCAAAGAAACACTATCAAAACAGAGGTTACAAAAAACTTTGCCACATTGATTGTTGGTCTATGACCAAACCACACGACTTGTTAGCAGCTGTGGGTCCTCCACTGCCCTTTTTGATTTCCCCTCAAGCCAGTCGAGACAGCCGACTTCCCAGAATATCAATACCCAACATGCTTACTGATGTAACAAGGTATTGATCACCGCAAACTGCTGACCCATATGAGCTGATATGAAGTTATTCAAGGAAAAAAATACTTCAGGCTCACGCTGACATAGTTGGTCTTTCAGCTAAATAACATAATAACAAAATGATTTCATAAAAAATGTAAGACAAATCAACAACAAATTGACAACATTATTTAAAGTCAATATATATCTATTATCAAATATTCCTTTGTAATACATCCTTTTATTTATTTATTTATTTAACTTTTTATTTATTTATTTATTTTTATTTTACTTTATTTTATTTAATTATTTATTTTTTGTCAGCCAATAAATCTGTTTCAGTTGAACGCATTAGAGAAGTAGAATTCAATAAAACTTTGACTATTTATATGATATATCTGTAAATATATATCCTTACAAAATGTATAAAATGCGTTGTTGGAATGATATCTAGAACAGACAGGCTAAACAGGTAACTACCATGGTAGACCATAATGGCACTTGAATAGAAAGTCTACTTGATTCTTTGGTTTTATGCAGAGTGAAATTGTCAAAAATACACTTTATCTTCTAATCAGCAAAAGTCAAGTGAAGAAAATTGGGTCTTTAAAAGTTTGGTACATGATGGGAAAATGGTCAGGAAATACTGAAGTATCATTGAAGACCAGGCAAAATTTGTAAGCTGGATACTGTCAAAACATATATAACAATAGTTTTAAAAAGTTCAACAACCTATACCTAAACTACAGTGGGAAATACATTTGGAGCATGACAAATGTGATATCTATCACATATCTGAACAGAGCTTTTCAACTTTTCACTTGATTTCAGTATGTGTATTTATATGGTTTTCTTGATTCGCATTACACAGTTCAGACACAAACAAGACTGATATATAACAAACTGCAATCAAATTATCAGCATTTCAAGCATCTTCAGGAGAGGCTTTTGTACTGCATACAAATCAACGATACAAGTCAGACTCCTCGCAGACACGGTAACTAGGAGACATGGAGCGGTATGTCACAGGAGATTTTTCAGTGGCATGGTCACAACAGACTCACTCTTAGGGGGTACACAAAACTATGACACAGGGGCAATTCAGTGACTTGACCCAAGATACTCTGGTATAGAATTACACACACTTCTATCTTTGATATACTGAAAAGGTGGAGCTTACATGAGAATTAGGTATTCAGCCAATACAGAAATATGGGGACACATAAGGTCATGACAGTGCCATCTGATTCCTCCATTGAGGTGTACAAAAAAGAAGGCAATTACACATCTCATCACAATGACATAAAAAAAAAAAGAACTGCTTCCATGAGAAAATGTTGGGTGACAGAACCAGGTGCATCTACACCAGTTCTCGCTTAACATTTATAAACAGTATTTCCATGCATTGATGTTCTATACAGGATGAAGCATGCGGCCTTTTCTGACTAGATCAACGTTTTTAGAGCCAATGTTTAAAAATTTGTAAATGCAATATTACATAAGAAAATAATAGACTTGGCGACCAATATTATACACATGACATTTCAAGTAAATAAGTTTTAAATCCGTAGCTCCCTTGAGCAAATAAATCATCTTGTATTTGGAACATGGACAATAACAGGTTCAAACTTTCTTGTCTGGACATGTAACACAAGACACATAAGTACTCTANATTGATGTTCTATACAGGATGAAGCATGCGGCCTTTTCTGACTAGATCAACGTTTTTAGAGCCAATGTTTAAAAATTTGTAAATGCAATATTACATAAGAAAATAATAGACTTGGCGACCAATATTATACACATGACATTTCAAGTAAATAAGTTTTAAATCCGTAGCTCCCTTGAGCAAATAAATCATCTTGTATTTGGAACATGGACAATAACAGGTTCAAACTTTCTTGTCTGGACATGTAACACAAGACACATAAGTACTCTATGACAAACCGCAGACCCATCCCATCTTTATGTTATTGTATAACACGGAGAGCTTTATTTTGATAATTATATTGACTTTACAGCTTGAACTTTTTCAAGGACTGAGGAAGGGTGGGTGCCTATATGTATATTGTCTTTGGTTAGATGGGGGGGGGGGTAGGGGAGGGAGGGAATTCATGCTTTAGCTCCTAAATATCCTGATACTGACCCATATACCAAAGTGGACCTGTTAACCTTTCGTATTATCTTGGAGACAGGCCGAGACAAGGAGAGAGGTGGTGAACTTTGATATGTCAAACAACATATAGGTCAGGTGGTGTGTGGCCACTTACGCCTACCTCACACACGCACCGTGTTTGTTTCCTGGGACGAGGTGTGTGTGCCCCTGTGTATGCAGTTAGTCAACACTACTATACTCCTGAATTGACTGGGAGCTTCAATAGAGGCGGCTTTATGAATGAACTGAATGGAGATCTAGTAGGTGAACAAACCTGGCAGTGGATTTAATGGGCTTGTGTCAACAGGAAGTGGCTTTAAAATGAACCACCGTGTAAAGCAAGGGAAAAGGTGTTTACAAACTAGCCCAAGCTCAAGCTTAATACCAGTATTATTACATTTAAAACGGAATTTCAAAAAAAGCCCCTGTAAAAGTCAGGTGCGTTATAATTTGTCAGGTGCAACAGGGTACTCCAGGCCCTGAGTCATAAAACACACCACAGCCCTCGACAATTGCGAAATTTACACAGTTTGTTGTCCTTAAAATCTAGGCATAATCCAAAATGTGATAAAAAAACGAGCCAGGAGATGTGATCTCTCTATGAGTAATAATCAGGTTGAGCTGTGATGTATCATGTGCTGTCTGGGGTCACAGTATGTCAACACTACATAGTGCCTTTGATACTGTTGGTACAATTTCCCCCAATCTAAGGTGTGCCTTTACTGTGGATGGGCCAATCTTCCAGTCTAACCCCAAGATAAGATAGAAACCAGTTCATGTTGACAAATGACTTTATGATATTCGGCCTGAAAGACAAGTCAATAGAAAACTTACAGCGGGAACATGAAATGCACTATTTCATATTTCACATGCCTTAAACCACGTACACAGTACAAGTCCTCTGCAGACGGCTGCACCGTCTCTGTATTCTCTGTACATGCCCAGTCTGCAGTATAAACCACTGGCCTGATTGCCAATGCCAGTAAAAATCAGACCGGGCCAGTGAAATTTCTGAAAAACGGTCAGTTACTGGCCCCATCGGGCTAGTGGATTATTTCAGATGTAACGTACTTCATTTTACAAATGTTCAGGCTAAATGTTAAGTCTTTTTTTTAATAACCTTTAGAAATCCCATGTTTTTGTTCTTATTTGTAACAGAAAGCCTCTTTAATGTCAATATGTTAATTTGAGTATTTTTTTTTTTTTTCTTTTTTGGCCAGTGAATTAAGGTTCCGGCCAGTATATTCTCACACCCTGGTGGCCTGTAAGTTGAAAAGTATTTGGCACAGACTGAATGTTTAGGCTCTCTGCCTTACCGAGTGCCCCCTCTCCCCCCCCCCCCCCTTCCACTCAAATAAAAAAATCCTGCCTAACATAAAGCAAGGCTGCTATCTCTGAGAGTCTCCCCCCCCCCCCAACCCCATCCATCCTCCCCAAGAACCATAACGTACTCCATTCACTAGACAATACTTGTACTGCTGAGCAAATGTCTTATCCAATTTACTTTTACAAAACAGAAACATGGCGATGTAATTGAAAATGGGGGTTATCCCAATAATGGCAATTCGTGCTGCAGGCTGTCAAACGGGGTTGCTAGGCAACACTGGTCAAGCGCCACTGGACAAGCACCCAAGCACTGCAATAAATCATCACTGGACAAATACTATTTGGTCTTTGCTTGGCCGTAACAAGAGCCACTGACCGGCAGGGTGTAGTGTTAATTTGCTGACCTGTCTGGCTGTCTGCATGGGGAAATATAATGGGACTCCCATCAGATCATAATGAGCCTCTCTTACACAGATTACTCAATACCAAGACAGCCCATGTCTGATCCCTGGACATTTCAATGTGAGACAGGTATGACTGAGTCACACCCATCAGAGGAAAAAAAGGAGAGGGGAAGAAATTCAGAATAACTTTTCTTCTCAAGAACAAATACTAAAAACATCACTGATTGACAAGTTAAATCATCAACAAGGCATTATGAAAAAAGAAAGAAAGAAAAACGTGTGTAAACAGGGACAGTCCTTGACCATCAGTTTCCCAAAATACCTCTGGCCCAGGTATAACAATATGTCATAACCATCATTACTAATAATGATCAGCATGTGCCCCTAAACCCTAACCCTGACTGCAGCTGGCATATCAGAAAGAACATGGCAGATTGATTGACTTGTACAAGATCTTCCAGTCCTGTGCATCACTTCACAGGCATCCAGAGCCAATAGGTTCTGCACCTGCCTGGAATTGCCTCTACAACCACAGCCAGGAGCTGAGCAATTGCATACAAATACCAGAACATATTGATCAGAACCTGTGTGGTGGAGGGAATCATTAGCTGCAGTCACACACACAAGCTGATCAAAGGCAAGTTTGGCTTGGCGTAGCACATTGTTTAGGCAATTGAAAAGCAATCACAGGCTTCCAGGAAATATGTTACTGTCAGGGGAAGCACTTCAGCCTGATAAAAACTCCTTCTTGGTTTGAAACCTGTAACACAAACAAGCTTGGTCACCTGGTTCCCACTCAGTGCAATCCTGTTCATGGTGTGTAAATGCTATATGAAAGACTTCATGGATCATCAGCCTATCAGCCCCATCACTTACAACCCTACTGTAACTGACACATGACCCCAGACAATGTAGATACTGGATATGTGGCTAACATTTTATCACATAAGGTAGACTGAATGGCTTCTTAAAGCAATAATAACTCTTCGTTTCGGCCAAAAAATGAATTTTCCTGGAGTAAACAACAATTTTTCCATACTTACCAATGGTTATTGAATCCATTTTTACATTCAAAGTTAGTCCCTGGTTTTTTTCTAAAAAGTTTGTTTTTTTTGTTAAAATCTCTTAAGAGATTTTAACAGAGTATAGACATCAATGGAGGTCACGTGGTCTAAAGACAAGTTCAAATATCAGAATAAAAGCTATAACTGCTGTTTTTGTGGTAAAACAGAATATATTATATTTCTATGAGTTATTCACAAGGTTTTTATCGTGAAATATAGGTCTCATACGAAGAGTTATTATCCCTTTAATAGTTCAAGCAGGCAGACAAAAAATAAACCGTCTATGAGTCTCTCTCTATCTTTCACACACACACACGCACACACACACACACACACACACACAAACAGTTTATGACTATTTACAAGTTCTCTCTCTCTCTTTCTCTCTCCAGATTTAACAAGTATTTACAAGCGACTCACATACATGAGGGATAATGTAAAACAAACTCACTTACAAAGTAACTAATTGTAAGCCTCATTCCTTACATTGCAAGGCTAGATGGAATTTCTGTTGAGCCCAGAAACAAAGTTGAAATAAGCACCAGATGACCAAGATGCACTTAATAAAGCTAATTTCAAATCCAACAAAACTAACATCCAACAATACTGCTCAACCAGCCAGCCATGTTTCAGTTTAACACACCACTGAACTGACTCCATCTACATCTTATTCCTCTAGACAATCTACTAAAATGTTCTGAACAAAAATCAATAAGAATCTGGCAAAAAAAGTAATTTTTTCTTCAAGAACACATTAATTTACCCTAAGGATGTGTTCGGGAAAAAATCTGAAGATGGCATGAACCATGCAATATGGCAAATATATTTATATCTACAAACACAACAACAGACTGGATCTTCACACGCTAATGTACTCCAGTACACCCTTCTCACTTCATCACGCAAAGCACCCAAATCCTTCAGTTTGAAATTCCTTCAGTCTGGTCCCCAGACCGTTGAGGATGACATATATGTCTGCCATCCATCTGACATTGAATAGGGAAAGTGATTCAAAGTGTGACAACTTCCCATGATAATATCAATAGAGTCCATTTATCTCTAGGTGGGTAATCTGACTTCAGCCTTTTATGTCGCCTACAGGTACATCCCTCCACTCTCCAGCAGTCCTAGACATTAAGCTCCATGCCTATATATACATATAATATCTTGTACTCTATTATTTAATATGAGAATTCAGATCTCCCTACAGATTTGAGTGCAAAGAAGACATTTATGAGAGATTAATATGTACAACCTTTGGAATAAAAATTGTCATCAACCATTTGCATAAAAATTAAACATTGTTATCAGGTGGAGAAGCCAGGTTTAAGTGTAACATTAAGTAAAATATGAGCCAGTCTTAATCCAACTAGTGATTTCCATAACATTTAC